TTTCCACTCACTAAAACGTTCTGAATCAAATAAAAAAAAGACGGAGAAACAATACTATACAAACTTTTTCACCTACAATTTCACCGCCATACAAACCCATCCCCATGCTTATGTTTCTGATCAGCCTTGCTACAACTATAAGACGAAAACTTCAACAATAAATATGCGCTATTTTTCTCTCGATTCAGTACATTTCACTCAATCAAGTAAGACCCCCTTAGATAATATACAGCAGACCACCATTAGAAGCCTGAACAAGTGCAGGAGAAAGCATAGAATACAACTCGCTACTCTGAGCTTCTAATAACCAGATCAAATAGTCAGTACCAATATGACATTCATAATCAGTGGCTGTTGCGACTTTGCACATCGTGACTGTGATTTTGCTGAGAAAATAATACGTACCTGGAGAGAATTTGGGCATCGAGATCTCTCCTCAGATTGAAAGTCGTTCCGTAGGTAAGGTCCAACCCCATCCGCTTCTTCTCCTCCCAGATTCTACCCGTCTGGTCGAGATCAGACCCAAAGACACACCAACGACAACAAAATAAGGATTAGGGTTAGAGTCAGCATAAGGTTAAAATTCGAGAAACCAGTAGAAACCCGGACGATCGGAAGCCAAAACAAGGAAATCAAGCGAAAACGGTAGAAGGACGGGATCGGGAAGGGTGGGTTAATGATGAGGGTAATAAATGGTGATAAGACCCGCGCAGACGTCAACTGTCCCAGACGACACCTCACACCTCAAACGACCCGACGGAACCTGGGCAAACGAACCAAAGCGCAGACCGAGGCCCATTAACGACCTGTTCAGACTCGATTCTTCATGCCACGCAAACACCAATGTCAGACGCAACCCGCTCCCTGCAAGCAGTCGCATCAGACACGGTAAATCATCCTATAAAAACCCCGCCCCGAGAGGGGCGAGGGAGGAAAAAAGGAACCACTCCACCCCACATCACTAACTTGATCGTCGGAGGGGTCGGGCCGGGCTTCCGACCCGACCTGTGTGCAGGTAAGAAGACGAAGCCAATTCCCTCGGGATGCCGAGGAGAGGAAGCCTTCCCCACGGGACATCTCGACGAATCCTGACGTGATCTGGCCCGCGCGGTCGGCCACTTCAGCAACCCTGAGAGACCTCAAGCAAGATCTCCGCCATTCGGCCTCGAAACAAGCCGCGTCGGCCCCGAGGCCACGACATAAAGTTATTTACACCAACAGATTGGCGCTAGAAGGAGGGCCCCGAATGTCGAGGGATCCCCTGACCGACCCTAACGAAGCCCCAGTCGAGGGATCGTTCTAAACAGGGGCGCCGACTGAGCGCCCCTCGCGTAACGAGCCGCGGGTGGACGATCCCGCCACGACCTCAGAACGCTACTGGCGTCTGTTCAACAACCCGGGCCTGCTTCCCCCCGAGGGCGCTCCGAGTGTCCCCTCACCCGTGTCATCTGAAGCCTTCCAAGACCTCGCCCTTCAAGTCCGGGCCTTGGCAGGAATGGTGCAGACGGTAATCCCGCTCATTTCCCATACAACAAACCCATCTGTGGCCCAGCCTGTGCGTCGGTTGGACCCATTTGCACCTATTCACGCGACTACCTCGGCACCCCCCAGTTCACCCCAGGCCCGGGTGTTTCCCCTGGGAAATCAGGCGGGGGGAAACCCTCCCGGTCGACCCGAGCATGAGGCGATGTCTACGGAATCAGCGAGCTCTCTTCGGGTCCAACTGCACTTTCTCAGTCAACGACTCGAAGAAATACAGAGAGAGGTCCGAACCTCAAAGGGGGAGCCTGGGGACGAGGCGCGCCGGGGGTCACCGTTCGCGGTCGAAATACGGGATCAGCCGGTGCCCGCAAGCTTTCGACTCCCCTCCCTGGACGCCCATGACGGCACCACCGACCCCGCCGACCACGTGGCCGCCTTTCGGGCTCAGATGATGCTATACGGAACCTCTGATGCTTTGATGTGCAAGGCGTTTCCCACGACCCTGAGAGGCTCGGCCCGCGCTTGGTATAGCGGTTTGAAGACCGGGGGAATCACCTCCTTCGACCAGCTCACCGAGGAGTTCGAGCTCAACTTCTTGGCTTTGGCTCGACCAAAGCCATCCATCGCCCTACTCCTCGGACTGAACCAAAAGGAGGACGAACCTCTCTCTCGTTTTGTGAACCGATTCGCCACTGAAATTCGAGGCTTATCAGGTGCTCACCCCTCTTTATTGATGCAGGCATTTATGGCGGGTCTCTGTCCCTCTAGGTTCTTTTGGTCCCTTATGGAACGACCCCCCACCGCTGTCTCAGAAATGCTCCAGCGAGCCAATCACTATGTCGCGGTAGAAGCCTGGATGTCCGGGAGACACGAGGAGAATAAAAGGCCCCGGGCAGAACCACCGACTGGGCAGCTAGCCGGTCCGCTGAGATGCAGATCGGACCGATCCAACCCGACCACACTGAGGTCGCCCTCCCCCGCTTTGGAAACATCCCGAACGTAAATATTCCTTCATATAGATGGGAAGGGGCTGCTCCGAACCCCCACCCCGATGAGGAACCCCCAGGAGCTCGCGGACAAAATGAGATATTGCCACTTCCACCGACAAAACGGGCATGATACGGAAGAGTGCCGCGAGCTGAAGCGACAGATCGAGGAGCTGTTTCGAAGGGGGCATCTCGGCCACTACCTACGGCAAAATAAAGAGCTTTCCCCACGGCCCGAGGGCCCCGTCGAAAGGCAGATTGATGTCATCACGGGCGGCCTAGCGTTTGGGGGAAACAGTATGACTGGGCGGAAAGCATACGCCCGCGCCCCAATGGCCGAAGACCCCGGGCACGGGCCCGCGCCTGAGGTCACGTTTCCAGCTGAGAGAATCGAACCGCCCGAACACGATGACGCGTTGGTGGTGGCTGCCAGAATCACCAACGCCCAAGTAAAAGGATCATGGTCGACACTGGGAGCTCGACCGACATCCTTTATTTGGACGCATTCCAAAAGCTCGGGCTCTCCTGCGACGCCCTGGTGCCTATGAGCTCGACGCTCACCGGGTTCACAAGCGAATCAGTTTCGCCATTGTGACACGGACTTAGCTGGTTTTGCCTAAGCCGTGCGGCACCCTTGCGTGTCCGTCCGCAAAGGTCAGCCTCCCCGAAGCCTCCCATTGTCCCTTAGGACCACCAAAAGAGAGAACGGGTTAGAGAGAACGCCTCAAACGGGATCCACAAGCAAACATGTCCGAAAAACACTTCATAGACAATGCAAATTACAAACAGACTTTACCAGCTCTGAACAGTGGCACAACAAAGGGTAAAATGGTCCATTACAGACCGAAAAGCTCTCGTACGTGTCCACATAACACAACCTTTATTTACAAGCCTAAAGAGGCCACCAACCCAACTAAAGTGGGACTATTAAGCCTTCGGCCGCCCCTCTACATTCTGTACAAGGCATGAACATGCCAAAAGACACGGACATACATAAGCATTACATCAAACACCCTGTTTCAAAGTTTGTCTGTGACATTCTCCCCCACTTATCCCTTCGACGTCCTCGTCGAAGCCTTTGTGAACACTGCAACTCTTCGCCTTTGCTGAGTCTTCAATCTTCTGCTCCAGCTGCAATGCGCCTCCTGGCTCCCAGTTGCTCTCCGCTGCTGTTTTTGAGTAGTCGAACCTTTGATCCGCCATGCTGCTTCAACTCGCCAATGACTCTGACTCTGGTGTGGGGTTGGCGGAGTTGTGTTGATCCTCGTTGATTCCTGCGGATCTCCTAGATGAAGGAAAAGACCATCCTTACTACGCTAGTCTCTCAGAAATTCCACGTGCTACTTGAACTGGGTGGATGCTTGTTGGAGCTTTAACGAGCATCGCCTCGCAAACTTCTGAAGTTTTGGGTCCTTCCTCCACAAAATCTGCTCATTGACTCTTCTTTCAGTTAGTTGTCACATCCAAGTAGGTTCGCATCACTTCCGCTTTCGATTGGCATTTCGTTGAGAAATGAAGCGGACAAT